ATCAAATCTAACATCTTCAAATATGGTGTGGTTGACCAAACCATAAATTAATTTAATTTATGTCTTGTCTGGACAAAATAAGGTTTTTTACAAGCTTTTCTGCCAGAAGTCACAAATCCCTTCAGCAATACATTTTCATAAAAACAGTCAGTCAACTATGGTCAGAAGTATAAAGAATCTTCAGACATCATAAAAGTTATAGATATTACAGTTGGCTCTCTGTCAGGTAGCTTATTTTGTGATTTACAATGGATGAAGGGATGACTTGTGACTTTTTACTCTAAGGATCAAATTTAAATTTATGACATTTCTTGCAGTTAATCTATATGACCTGTGTATAAAGACAGACATAGATGCATTTAACCAAAAGTTATAGTTAGAATAGTTGTGGAAGAGTTCTACTCCTGATTTTATAGATACAACTGAAATGTTTTATAATTAAGCTGAGAGCTTTTTAAGGGAAGACGTTTTTGAATAAAATATTTCTTAAAATTGAATTTATTATACCCATGAAGTAAATGATATTGTCTTAACAGCAGCAAATAGAGTTGTTTGAAAATCAGATCAAAGAATATAGTAAGCAAATACTGAATTTGCTATTTTTTTCCCTTTCACATCTGCCTCTGCTTTTAGGTTTGAAACGTCTCCTTGGGAAACATTTAACACTTAAATTTTTAAATATTTTATTCTATAGAAGGGGATTAAACATAGTTTACAAATCTTCTATTTTCCGTTATTTCTCAAATTTGTATTTCTTAATATTTTCGTCTCTCTCCAAAGCTTTAACAGACAAAGTATCTCAGCAGAAGACCTAATCGGAAATAAATGAGCTCATAATATATCTGTTACTGCTTTCATACCTCCTTTAGCTGCCAGAATGTTCTATAAATGGCCACTGATAACTAGTTTATTGGGCTTGCCTCATCACACAGTACATAAATCACTACTGATTTAACTAAGTAATTTGGCTTTTGAATTCAAGACTCAGTACACACACACACATGCAAAAACACACACACATGCACACACACACACACACACACATAATTAGGTTTTGTGGAATTTGAGAACACTGTTTAATAACATGCTGGTGTATTGTGGGTAGATTTTAAAGCAGGTTTTGGTTTTTACCTCCACATTAGCAGTGAGAAGTTTCTGTGAATTTTTTCACATCTGAAAACACCAGGAGAAAACGGTATTTCTGAGGATGGTTAAGTAATTTAACAGATGAGTTATAATCTATTTGTTTTAACTGAAATAACAAGTACATCAGTTGAAGGGTAAATAAATATCCTCTTGTTTTCTGAAACTTATCTGTGTCTCTAGCATAACTTTGACCCAGGAAGCTGCACTACCTCTCTCTGAGAGGAGATAACAATATTGTCCAGAATAATCAGGCAAGATCTTGAAAAGATAAATCCCAAAGAGAAGGGTGAAAATGACAAGAACTGCATGCCTTCCTGTGCTACAACCACAGCCTGCATCTGTCTCACAAAAAAGACAAAAATACAAATAAGAAAGGAAATAGTGAATAAAGCATGAAAATCTAAAGAAAACCAGATTACAGAGATTTCTTTTTTCATGGTATATTTCCAGGAAATACATAAGTAAAAACTATCATAAAAAGCCTATTATTTCTATCAGGGCAGGGGGAGTGGCACTTCAAAAAAGGAAAACAACTTAAAAAATTATTTAAAATACCTAAGAGTTTCCTGTTAAGATGATTCACTAGCCCAGGTGAAATGAGATTGAAGCAAGAATTTGATTTAAAAATAATAACAATAACAAATACCTCTTTGAAAGGGATTCTAGAGCTATTTTGAAGTGGTCTGACCAGAGGTAGCCGCAGTTAGGGATAACTGGAATTTGGGAAGGGGAGTTCTTGCAGGTTACCTGAAAGTATAGGCTGAAGGAAAATATTTTAGTTTTCCTCCTAACTCTCCCCCGTCTTCCTCTAGGACAATCATTGTTTGTTCCTTCCTTGTTAAGGATGCTAAACCCAGGCCCAGGATTCAGGTTGCTCAATTTCTTGGGAGAGAGGATGAAAAAATGTGTGAAATGACTGGTCAAATGTGGCATTCACTCCTCCACCCTACTCTCTGTCAACCCCAAGGCTTGATGAAGTATAATGGACAGGTGCTCTTCCTCCCAGTGCTTTTACGCCAACCAGTGCTTTTATACCAAAGACAATTTAAGGGGTGTGAAATTCTGATCAGGGAAGTTACCTGGCTACAAAGGGAAGTGATCAAAAGGAAAGTGACCAAAAGTAGTTTCTTCATGTTTTAAGTACATTCTCTGCCTTCTCCTTAGATTCACCTGAAAAGACTGACCTTCCTCAAACACTGTACTGGCTAGAATAAGTAAGGTCTCCAGGAAGACTTAAGCTCAAAGGACAAAATAGTGATGCACAGAAAATACAGCTTCAAAAGAAAGGCAACAAACTGAACAATATATATTATGCTACCAAAACTGATAAATAAGGAATTTAAAATAAACATCAGCAATATACTCAAGGAAATAATGGAAGATAGTAGCGAAATAAAATGCGAAAAAGAAGTCATTAAAAAAAACAAAGAGGAAATATGGTAAAAAAAAATTCCAAGTAAATAAATATATACTTAGCTTTTAAGTGAAGGGGCACAAGCATTTAAGTTATACATGCAGCATTAAGTAAGTAAATAACTGAAATACAACAACAGATGAGATAGCAGCAAAGCTACAGTGTAAGAAGGATTTTGATATAATTTGGATATTTTCCCCCTTCAAATCCCATGTTGAAATATGATCCCCAGTGTTGGAAGTGGGGCCTGCTGGGAGATGTTTGGATTGTGGGGCGGATCACTCATGAATGGCTTGGTGCCTACCCTGCGGTGAGTTCTCCTTCTTCCATTGGTTCATGGGAAAGTTTGTGGTTTACGAGCCTGGCATCTCCCTTGCTCTCTCTCTCACCATGTGACATGCCGGCTCCCACTTTGCCTTCCACCATAAGTGGAAGCTTCTTGAAGCCGCACCAGAAACCAAGCAGATGCTGGTTCCATGCTTGTACAGCCTGCAGAACTATGAGCTAAATAAATCTTTTATCTTTATAAATTTTCCAGCCTCAGGTGTTCCTTTACAGCTTTGCAAAACGGACTAACACAGGTTGAATAATTTGAAAGACAAAATTGAAGAACTGTCTTGGAAAACAGAAATGCTTCCAGAAAGCAGATGAGACAAACCAAATAATAAAAATAGAAATGGAAGGATCAAATCTGCTCAACAGCGGAAGGAAAAATAAAGACAGTGAGCAAAAACATTTCAAGAAATAATAATAATAACAAATTTTTAGAGTTAAGGATGAAAGACTTCAGACCCAAATTGAAAACATTCAAATAATAAAAGAAACAAATCCAGGAGGGCATTGTAAACAGTGTGGGAAAGTAAGGATGGTAAGTTTCTTGATAAAGTTTTGTTTTGTTTTTGAAGAAAAAGAAATGACCAAAAAAAAGAAACAAGTGATTATTTCAACTAAAACTAAAAATCTATATTGTGATAATGGGATTTGGTGAAGTGGTACAGAGAACAAAAGGGTCTTGAGAGGGCAAGATTGGGGAGCAGACAGAGATATTGAAAAGTGTAAGGAATCAGTAGGAAAACATAAACATGAGCCCATATTTTAAATTAACAGTGATCACTGTATGTTATGTAGGTAAAGAATGCACAACTTTAAAACTTACAATATTTAGGCTTTACAGTGAAAAAGTAGAAAAGTTTAAAAGA